CTCCAGCCTTAGGGCAACCAATGCAGACATAAATACAGTTATAATCATATTATTATAATCACTTCTGTACACTTTACCTTTATTATTCATCTCCTTCTATAGAGATAGTATAACTTGCTTTTAATAACCCAGTGTGTTTCCATGGCTGAACAGGAATTTGGACCCTGGTCTACAGAGTGGTAGAGCAACACTCAATCCATTACACCACATTCAGACTCCCTAGATAATTGCAGAAATACAGCATAATAGTGTGCATGGTTGTGGGGAGGGTGGGGGAGAGAATAAATGAGCTTCTGATGGTATATAGAGAATGTAACAAGGTCTTGAAGGAGCTGGGGGTGGTGACGGCCGACAGGGAGCTCTGGCGTGGGCTGTTCCATGAGTTCACGAAGAGTCGGAGACGACTGAACGAATAAACAACAACAACAACAACAAACAAGGTCTATTAGTATGTTGCCTGAATGGGAATGGGAGCAAGGATGAGGAAATAACAAGCTGGTCCTTGCTATTGAAGTTGGCCACATCATCTGAAATTTATTCCCAACCAGTACCCTGTCATAAAGATACACAAACTCAGGAACCGGATCTTGCAACAGACCCAGAGACTTGCTCAATGTCTATTATTTCCTTGTGCGTATATGCTTCTTCTTTCTCTCAGAACTGCTGAGTTTTCTTTGCCAATTTATTGTAATACTACTCAGACTGAATTGTGTAAGACTTCCAAATAGTTTAAACCTCATTGCCTTCCTGGTGTGGAAGGGCCCCAGGGTGGGAAAAGCGCAGTTCTCCAAGGGCCCTTCCACACAGCCATATAAACCAGAACATCAAGGCAGGAAATCCTACAATATCTGCATTGAAAAGGTTTATCTGAGACCACACTGCCATGTATTCCAATTCAAAGCAAAAAATGTGGGATTTTATTCAGCTGTGTGGAAGGGGCCCTAGAGTAGTTCGTCTTGGGGAGCCCTTCCTGGTGATGGTGGTGGTGATGATGATGATAATGGTGATGAAAATAATAATTATAATAATTTGTATTTCTTTCCCGTCTCTCCTTGAGGTAATGGCATAGCATCTGGGCATTTTAAAGAAGGGCATTTAAACCTGTGGCATCCCACAGTGTGCAAATCAGTGTGCTCCAACAATAGGTCTTTTTGCACACATGTTGACAACACCTGCTCTGTAGACAATGGAAACGAAGCATATTAATGTAATGCATAGAGTGCAGAAATCTTCAAACCAAAGCAATTTCTAAATATGGGTAATTAAAGAGTTTGCACATACATGCTCAGACATCTGTCTATGTAAAAAGAAGTACAGTCAACCCTCCTCATACTGACAAGGAAATGTGAGCGAAAAGACGCTGGAGAATTTCAAGATGTCATTTGAGGACAAATCCACTTGCCTAAGAAAACCCTACAAGGTCATCGTAAGTCAACAGGTGACTTAAAGACACAAACGCACACACAACTGAGAGCAGGAGAGGGCAGACCAGCAGGAAAGAAACTGGAGCACAGGACAAAGAAAGAATGGGCTTGCCTGAGGGTTCATCATAAGCTTCCTGGGGGTTGAGTAGGCTTGAAAGCAAATACTTCCTCTCCCTGTACTACGTAGGGGTGTACGCTGTAGGGAGGGAGGGTAACCTATTAACATGTTTGTTGTGGGTCTGACTTTCAGCTCTGAATACTAGAACAATGGAGCCAAAAGAATAGGCTACATCACCTTCCATCAGGCCACTTGGTCTTTGCTTCTTCCAGCATGCTGACATTTGTCCACTTGTCTTCCCAAGAGATTTGCAGGATTTTCCGGAGGCAGCGCTGATGGAATCGTTCCAGGAGCTGCATGCGATGTCTGTAGACAGTCCATGTCTCGCAGGCGTATAGCAGGGTTGGGAGGACAATAGCTTTATAAACAAGCACCTTGGTATCCCTACAGATGTCCTGGTCCTCAAGCACTCTGCTTCATTTGGAAAAAAGCTGCACTCTCAGAGCTCAGGTGGTGTTGTATTTCAGTGTCAAGGTTGACTTTGGTGGAGAGGTGGCTGCCAAGGTAGTGGAAATGGTCAACATTTTCTATTGTTACACCATTAAGCTGTATTTCTGACATTGTGGACGGATTGGCTGGAGACTGCTGGAAGAGCACTTTGACTTTCTCGATGTTCAATGACAGGCCGAGCTTCTCGTATGCTTCTGCAAAGGTGTTTAGAGTGGCTTGTGGGTCTTCTTCTGAATGTGCACAGACGACGTTGTCATGAGCATATTGGAGTTCTAAACTGCCTACTAGCTGTTAGGAATTATGGGAGTTGTTGTCCAAAATACCTGGAGGGGCAAAGTGTGCCCATGCCTGATTTAGGCCAAAGGGAATGAGTGTTGTTGTTGTTGTTGATTCGTTCAGTCGCCTCCGACTCTTTGTGACCTCATGGACCAGTCCACGCCAGAGCTCCCTGTCGGCCGCCACCACCTGCAGCTCCTTCAAGGTCAGTCCAGTCACTTCAAGGATGCCATCCATCCATCTTGCCCTTGGTCGGCCCCTCTTCCTTTTGCCTTCCACTTTCCCCAGCATCATTGTCTTCTCTAGGCTTTGCTGTCTCCTTATGATGTGGCCAAAGTACTTCAACTTTGTCTCTAGTATCCTTCCCTCCAATGAGCAGTCAGGCTTTATTTCCTGGAGGATGGAATGGGTGTTAGCTACTCCTATATCCCATGCCTGGCTGTAGATGCGCCCATAGCTATGCGTCCTCCAAAGTCATTCCCACTAAAGTCCTCCCAGGGAGTAGGCATGGGCTCAGTGGATAGGAGCATCCCTCATTCCCCTCCCCCCCCCCTCCCATTTGCCCGAAAAGGGTAGAAAGAACTGCCTGGATTGGGCGGGACGGGAGGCGGGGAGACTACAAAGGGCTTGGGGCGCGAGCGACCGAGTGCGCGCGCGCTTGTGTGAGGCTGAAGGGAGCTGCAAGCGGAGCCCGGCGCGTGGCGGCGCGAGAGGGGGACCCAGCATGCGCGAGCGGCAGGGAAACGGAGCGCGCTGATTGGCCTGAGCGCAGCGAAAGGGGTTCCCCGCGCAACCAAAAGAGAGAGAGAGAGAGAGGAGCAAAGGGGGAGGAGCCCAGTCGCAGCGGAGGCCTGACCTCACAATACCCCCTCCTCTTTCTCTTCCTCCTCCTCCTCTGGGCTCGTGCTGTCCGGGCCTGGTGGTGGTCGGGGCGCCGGCGGTGGAGGAGGGAGGCCATGCGGCGGAGCCCCCCGTCGCCCCTCCCGGCCGCGTGAAGGAGGAAGACGATGCGGGACCTGCCCGGCGCCTCGCTGCAAAAGGCTTGCCGCCTCCTGGTGCTCTTCTGCCTGCTCCACCTCCTGGCCGTGCTTTTCTACTACCTGGCCGGCAGCGCCCTCGGGCCCCAAGGCAGCCCCGAGCAGCCCCCGCCCCGACGGGGGACCCCCAGCGCCGCCCTCCCGACCGGAAACGCCTCCCAGCCCTGCCCGGACCCCTCCCCAAGGCTCAGTAAGTCAGGAGCCCCCCACCCAGGGGAGCTTGCTCTCCTTCTCTCTCTCTCTCTCTCTCTTTCTCTTTGTGTCGAAGCCTTTTCCACGCGGATACCGGGTACCTTCTCCTCACCCGATTCATCCCCCCCCCCTTCCTAAGGGACTCCCCATAAAGCGGATGAGGAAAAAGGAATGAACAAGACGCTTCCCTGTAGAAATGCAAACTTTTAAAAAGTGCACATAATTTTCAAAACATGGGAAAAGTACACCGCCCCGCTTTGGCCGAGCGTGGAAACAGAAAGGCAGCAGATGTGCGGATGTGCTCGCTCTCTCTGTAAACTCAAGAGGGAGTGCCTTCGGAGGAAACGCGCCCATTTCCTATCTTGTCGCCTTCTCCCTTGAGTGCAGCTTCTCACTTCCCACTCTTTCAGTTCCCAGCAGCAGCAGCATTGGGTGAAATGGGGTTGCCCAGAGTCGGCGGGATGGCGGTACCCGCGACTGTCTTCCTTTCCTTCCTCATCCCTTTCTTTCTCTCCCTCCTTTCCTCCCTCCCTTCTTTCCCTTCCTTCCTTTTCTCTCTCCTTCCTTCCTTCCTTTCCATCTTTCCTTCCCTCCCTCCCTCCTCCCTTCTTTCCCTCCCTCCTTCCTTCCTTCCCTCTCCTTCTTTCTTCTTCCTTCCTTCCTTCCTTCCTTCCTTCCTTCCTTCCTTCCTTCCTTCCTTCCTTTCCTTCCTTCCTTCCCTCCTTCCTTCCTTCCCTCCTTCCTTCCTTCCTTCTTTCCTTCCTTCCCTCCTTCCTTCCTTTTCCCTCCTTCCTTCCTCCCTCCCTCCTTCTTCTTCCTTCCTCCTCTCTTTCTCCTCCCTCCCTTCTTTTCTTCCTTCCTTCCTTCCTTTCTCTCTCCTTCCTTCCTTCCTTTTTCACCTTCTTTCTTTCCTCCCTCCCTCTTCCTTTCTTCTTCCCTTCCCTCCTCTTTTCTTCCTTCCTTCTTTCCTTCCTTCTTTCCTTTTTCCCTCTTTCTTTCTTTCTTTCCTCCCTCCTCCTCCCTCCCTTTCTTCCTTCCTTCTTTCCTTCCCTCCCTTTCCTCCTTCTTCCTTTTTTCCCTCCTTTCTTTTCTTTCTTCTTTCTTTCTTTTTCTTCTTTTCTTCTTTCTTTCTTTCTTTCTTTCTTTCCCTTCCTCCCTCTTTTCCTTCCTTCCTTCCTTCCTTCCTTCTTCCTTCTTTTTTTCTTCCTTCCTTCCCTTTCTCTCCTTCCTTCCTTTTTTCCTTCTTCTTCCTCCCTCCCCTTTTCCCTTCCTTCCTTCCTTTCCTTTTTCCCCCTTTCCTTTCCTCCCTCCCCTTTCTTTCCTTCCTCCTTCTTTCCTTCCCTCCCTGATTTGTTCCCTCCTCCCTCCCTCTTTCCTTCTTTCCTTCCTTCTTTCTTTCCCTCCTTTCTTCTGCCTTTCGTTCTTTCCTTCCTTCCTTCCCTCCTTTCATCTTACTTTCCTTCTTTTCTTCCTTCTTATTTATTTACTTCATTGTATACCACTCTTCTCAGCCCTTAGGCGACTCAGAGCGGTTAACAGGAACAGTTTCAGTATACACAATACAAGATCATTGGGCATTTAAAAGCAATAACATAACAAGTTAATTAAACAGTAAATATCAATACAACAATACATCAATATAACATGTATACCAACATATCTTTGCTCCCTCCCTCCTTCTTTCTTTCCTTCCTTCCTTCCTTCCTTCCTTCCTTTCGTCTTTCCTTCCTTCTTTTCCTCCTTATTTCTTCATTCTTTCCTCCTTGCCTCCTTTCTTCGCTCCCTCCCTCTTTCCTTTTTCTTCCTTTCTTCTTTCTTTCCCTTCTTTATTTTTCCCTCCCTCCTTCCTTCCCCCCTTCCTTCTTTCCATCCTCCCTCCCTCCCTTCTTCCTTCCTTCCTTCCTTCCTTCCTTCCTTCCTTTCCAGTCTGCCTCTAGAGCCCTGCCCTCTGTCTTCTTTCCGCCTGTGGAAGTGGGGGATGAATCATATCTGCCACGTTGCGGAAAAAGGGGAACAAATTCTCTGCGCCTAGACTGATTTCCCCTCCTTCGGCACAGAGTTGGTGCATGCTTATCCTTTGAAGTGGACCCATGTGTGTCAAACTCAAAGCCTGCAAGCTGAATCTGGCCCTCCATCCCATTTTATGTGGTTCTTCAGATGCTGGATTACAACTCCTGTCTTCCTCATCATTAGACATCATGACTAGAGCTATTCTGTCAGTGTCAGAAGTGTGTAGACTAGAGCTGATGGGAGTTAATGCTAGAGTAACAACTGGAAGGCTGCAGTTTGTTCTGTTTAGTCAGGAGAGTGGGGTTTGGATTGAGATACAATGATGTCTGACGTCAAACTGTTTTGGAAAACGGCATTTGGAAACAAACACCTTGTGGAGATCAGAACTTTTAGAAAAGCATCACCTTTCAGAGAAAAGCCAAAACCCCTTTAGAGTAGAATCTTTTCGTGTGGTATACAACCAGATGTAATTATGCAAGGCAATGGTTTTTAGTTGTTAGACCGAATAACCTGTTTTCTCTGATCTGTTAGAAAAATAGAGATTTTGCCAGTGCATAAAAACAGCAGTGCTTCAGAATTTTTTTTCAGTTGCCCAAAATATATATTGTAAAGTAAAGGTTTCCCATTGACACTAAGTCTAGTCACTCTGGGGAGTGGTGCTCATTTCCATTTCTAAGTCAAAGAGCTAGCGTTGTCCGTAGACGCCTCCAAGGTCCTGTGGCCAGTATTACTGCATGGAGCACTGTTACCTTCCTGCAGAAGCAGTGCCTATTGATGTACTCACATTTGCATGTTTTCGAGCTGCTAGGTTGGCAGAAGCTGGGACTAACAGCAGGAGCTCACCTTGCTCCCTGAATTCGAACAGCCAACCTTTCAGTCAGCAAGTTCAGCAGCTCAGCAGTTTAACCCACTGTGCCACATTGACATTCTGAGTTATATGGCTGTGTAGAAGGGCCTTATGTACTAACCAGGGCTGGTCCTGCTTAGATTCCAACATCAGACAGGATCTGGTATCTTTTAGAGTAATTTAGGCCCCACCATAAGCACATTTGAGTGATTTGACGATCCTTGCTTCTAGTAAGAATGAATGCTGGCTAAGCAAAGCTGCTCTATATCCCAACTCTATGACCTTTGCCCTGTATCTCAGTGTTACTTGGTGCCAATCCGTGAGTTATTTGTTTCTCATTCTCAGAGTTTCCAGGACAGCAAGCAACAATTATAGCCGATGAGCCTAAATATGATACCAGTTCTTGGCACACTGGGGGAAATGGCAGTCCCTCGTTTCCAGTACTGTCCGTCTAAACTGCTGGCATTCTGTGTCATTTTTTATTTTCTGTTCACCATTTACTTCATTGTGCCATTCTGGACTTTTCAAAATGGTTTTGTTTTGCTTCCCTTGGGAGCCAAAGCAATGCTTAAGTCAGGCATGGGCAAACTTCGGCCTTCCAGGTGTTTTGGACTTCAACTCCCACAATTTCTAACAGCCGGTAGGCTGTTAGGAATTGTGGAAGTTGAAGTCCAAAACACCACCCAGGTTTCCTTCCACCACCCAGGTTTTCGGCTTTTTGGATGTTAACTTCCATAAGTAATGTCATTTTAAAAGGTCTTAACATCTATATATTCTGATCTGTTTAGTGTGATGAGTACTAACAGCTGGGGGAAAGTTCCCTGCTTTCAGATTATGCTGAAATACACTTTTCTGAGTTATTTTAAAATTTGCTATTTGTGAGACCATTGATGTCTCTTGTCTTATTTTCTATTTGCAAAGTGCAAATTTCTCCATGTCCTTAATATTCTATTGATAGGAACGCTCCGTAATAATAGATAGGGTCATGGAGAGAGATATCTGATTTTTTAAAAAAAAATTATACAGGAAATTGTGTGCTCCTTGCCAAATAAAAAGGCAGACGCCCATGAAATATTTTTAAAGTCTGTTTTTCAAGGCTCATTGGGCTGAAATAATCACATCTTCATTGCTAAATGGGGTGATAAAATCAGCTCTCAGGGAAGGAAGGAGTGGAGGACAGCAATGCGGAAGGAAGCCTTAGCTCCTTTTCAGCAGGAGATGTTTCTAAGCTTCTAATTTCCCGTGGAGAAGAAATAGACTTCAGCTTCTTTCTCAGGGGAGACCATTGCTTGGTTCTTCATATTTTCCGCAGTCTTTTCACTGTCCAAGTACAGAGAGGAAAACACCAGATGCAACAGCTGGAACTCCTTAAACTTTGTTTGAATCTGTTCATCCCCCCTCCCTTTTTGTTGTTGTGTAAAATAATTTTATATTTCTGCTGCTTTGCTCAATGAAATGTGGTTGATGTAGTGTCTTTTGTGTATGTTTTGTCTTGTTCACTTTAGAAACAGCAGCATTGAAGATCAGGATATATTTTTCTCCAAAATTATCAATACAGTAAAAAAAACCCTTCTGGATCAAGTTTATTAACATGTACTCTTGTTTACTTTATGCCCCATTCTTTTAAATTGCCATGTTACCACTATCCGAATGTATTTCTTCTATGTTTTATCGAAGGCTTTCATGGCTGGAATCACTGGGTTGCTGTGAGTTTTCTGGGCTGTATTGCCATGTTCCAGAAGCATTCTCTCCTAACATTTTGCTCACATCCATGATAGGCATCCTTACATCCTCTGAGGATGCCTGCCATGGATGTGGGTTTTTTTTAAAATTGTGTCAGGAGCAACTTAAGAAACTGCAAGTTGCTTCTGGTGTGAGAGAATTGGCCATCTGCAAGGACGTTGCCCAGGGGACGCCCGGATGTTTGATGTTCTACCATCCTTGTGGGAGGCTTCACTCATGTCCCTGCATGGGGAGCTGGAGCTGACAGAGGGAGCTCAACCCACTCTCCCTGGATTTGAACTGCTGACTTGTCACTTGTTGGCCTGATAGGTATATTGTGTCCAAATTTGGTGTCCATTCATCCAGTGGTTTTTGAGTTATGTTAATCCCATAAACAAACATTACATTTTTATTTATAT